GCTTTATGGATGAGTAACTGAATTGAAATGCTACAAACAGGTTATTTGACATCTATCCATCCTCTGAAACTGCTTGTCCTGTACAGTGTCTGGAGCCTATGGCAAAGTTTACGGGCGCAAGGCAGGGACCAACGCAGGATGGAGTGCCAACCCATCGCAGGGCGCACTCACACCTGCGGGCAATTTGACAACTCCAGCTAAACTCAACATATTTTTGAACTACAGGGGGAAACCGGAGCACCCAGGTTAAACCCCACGACAACACAGGGACCACACATGCAAACGCGACACACGTGGATCCCAGGCAGAGACTTGAACCCGAATCCTAGAGATGTAAGGCGACAGCGCCGCAACAGCGTGTCAGACCCGTATGGTTTACACATTTAAGCAGGGATTAGACCAACCACGATTTCTGGACATCAAAAAATAATAAATTCCGTCCATATATATAGATCTCAGAATATCCAGGACAGCGTTATTTAAAACAACAATTTACAACTATTTCAGGATAAAGAAAACGTTCAATGACTTAAAATTATACAATAATATAAGGTTCATTTTAATTTATTTTCTGTTAATAAATTGCTACACATCACAAAATTTAACTTCATTGAACCTTAAATAAAAAACGAATGACATTACAGTGGCGCGTTAATTAACTGCAAGGTGGCTTACCTTCTAAGTGCACCATTTTCATTTATATTCAGAAGCTCTTCACTACGGAGGTATGCTGTGTTGAAGGCTGAAACTTGAAATCGTGCTTTCTGGTCATTTCTGATCGCTCCTTCAGATTCCCGTTTAGCGAAGCGTGGTGCCCCGACTCGCGCTCAGCCAATAAGCGAAGGCGGCGGCGGCGGAGTCGCTGCTCCGAAAGGTGGGTGGTCATCAAACCGGCAAACGTGCCGAGCCTCAGATACTAACACCGCGGACTGTCTGTCAGTCTGATTTATTATCACTGGGCATTGATTATCACCCTTTAATATTAAAAAGCTGGAGAATAAGAAAGGATATGCAGTGCATGTGCTGGGAACTGTGCACTTTCTGCACGTTTTAGTTATGTAAACGTGAGATTCCCTGGAGCCCTGGTCAGGTTGGTCAGCCTAATACTTGACAAGACGCTCCTTACGCAGTTAGTATACCTGTAATTTCTATACCAGTGTTACTGAGGTAATGGTTACCAAAGTAAATTTAGGAAGGCTAGCTGTTCAGGAACCGCCGCTCACGGTGCCTTAGCCCTGCCGACCCCCCTGTGTGACTCATCGTTGTTTGCGCTGTCCTCGGTTCTCAGTTAATTCTGTATTAAATCGCATAGCCATCCGCCCACATGATCCGCATTACTTAGAGACTGTCAGCTCCCGTTAACCCCCGTATTCCACTCTGCCCCACACTGTCTCCGTGCCATAAACGCACATCAGGGCAGCGTGCGCTATGCCTGAAAACAAACAAAAAGCTTTTCAAGAATAAACCTGTGTGCTGACCCAGATCAACAATATGGCATTTGGGCATGTGCCCACAGGCGCCAAGCTGAGCAACCACCCCCGCCCCCCATAAACTGCCCCCTCCCATTCACAAATGTCTTTTAACAAGTTAAAGCTAATATATTTAGCTGAAAATCTGTGTACACTTTTCCCTATGTCAGGTGCATTTCTGAATTTTGAGCCACCAATCAGATGTTTCTTTCTGATGTGATGTCATGTGTGCTGTTCCCAGTGGCACTTAATACTCATAATCCAGCCCTGCCAGTATACCCCTCTATTACATGGGTTATGTGTCATCATTTCTATAGGCCTTCCACTTCCTAGGGGCAGCAGGTGATGCAGTGGTTAAGGAAATGAATTTTCAGCTACATAGCTGTAGACCCCAATCGCACAAGTGAACATGCTGTGGCACCTTCAGGAGAAGAAGACTGATGTTTCTGACAAAATCATCGGCTAAGCAAAAAGTGTGAAAAATCGTCATTGAGCACATCGCAGCCATTTTCTGCTGCTTTGTTTGGAAGATCTGATTGTATCTGTTTTCAGTGGATGCTACTAGTTTGACTAGGAGTCTAATTACTCATAAGTGACAGGCAATGTGTATGAGCTTTACACTAGCAATTTGTACGGTCATTTTCTGCAGGTCTTCTGTTTTTCAATCACATGGGGTTCCCACATGCTAGATTTGCAGAGAAAATAAAATGCTGCCTTCACTTCCTTCTCCACAGTCTTACTGGGGTGAACTAACAAACCAAAGTTATGGACAATATGGTAAATTCACAAAGCCCCAGTTCTGAAATACAGCCTGTAATTTAGCACCCTGCTGTGAGGCAACATGGAGGGATACCAAGATCAGTCTGTAAATATACACGAAGTCTCTGCCTGTGGACACACTGGCCTGAGTCTGATGACATCTAAATGACTAATTACTGCAACTGTGAGCACATTTTGCTCTCACATGAATCCACCCCTTCTCAAATTGGAGCACAAAGCAGTAGTTTGCTAACACATAAGTGTGACTCGTGACAACTTCTGCATGACAACAGCAGGTCAGCTCACATTGTGTTTTTTGTTTGTTTTTTGCTCCACATCCTTCTTTTATGGCACGACCACAGCATCAAAGGAATATCCCATAATTAAAATGGCAGTTGTGGCCGCTTGTGGGGATGGAGGTGGCCACATGGATGAGAGGAAGCACGAGGAAGAGTAAAGGGTTCCAACAAACAAATGCTTTCAGCATTCATTTCAGAAGAGGCACGGCATTAAAGTGACAGGTGCTTTTTTCCCCAAAAAACCCAAATGACACAAAAATTTCAAAGAAACTCAACAAACTGAAATGACAAAACCAGCATTTGCGTTTCTGTGTACCCCGTCTCCTCTCAGTCAGCCAGCCCAGCTTATCCTTAGCAATGCAGTCCGTCCAATCAGAGCAGCTGAACCTGAATATTTGCTCCAAGATGCTTAACATTTATATGCTGCCAACAAAAATGACAACAATACAGTCAACAGTCGTACCACTAGCAGCTCAAATCAGGCAATACTTCTGAAACGAAGCAGGTTTGGGCCTGGGTATTACTTGGATGGGAGACCAGTGGCCTGTACTACAAAGCAGGGTTACTGGCTTGTTGGGGTAACTTGTTGGATTTAAGGTACCACAAAGGTACCAACACCTTTCCTGGAGGGCAGTCCACTGGAGGTGAATCCTGCTGATTGGCATTATGGACGATCCCCTCCAGATTCCAGCTCACCTGTCCAAAAAAGCAAGCCTCGGGTAGAATAGAAACTAATAGGTTCCTCCTGAACTGAAGAAGGATTAAACTGATGGGATAGAGCATCGGCCTTTATGTTCTAGGACGCTGATACACAGCTGTCCTGAAAGATCGAAACAGGTAAGGAGGCCAATTGTGCCTGACAGGTACACTGACTTGACTGACCTGAGGTACTCCAGGTTCCAGTGGTCAATAAAGACTTGTTCTTTCCAACCAGTGCCGCCACTCCTCCAGGGCTATCTTGATAGCCAGCGGCTCTCAATTCCCGGTGTCAAAATTATGTTCCACTGGGGTGTGAAAGAACGGCCCTGAATCCCACCTTGGAGGCATTCACCTTGACGGCATAGGGCCCGGAGTGGCCGTGCTGGCGGAGGACCAATGCAGAGCAAAAGAGGTGCTTAACGGGCTGCTTTTGCCCCAGGGTTCCATTGGAGGGTGGTCCTTTGGGCATGAAGTAGATCATTAAGCAAGGCAACAACTGGGCCAAAACCCCTAATAAACCATGCATAGAAATTCACAAACTCCAAGGAATGCTGCAGGTTCTTAAGAGAGTGGTTGAAGTCACTCTCTGACAGCCTGCACTTCTCACATCAACTTCTGACATCTCCACTCCTCAGGGCAGAACACTCAGTAAGTCTTATGGAAGATCGACAAAACCTCACACTTAGTGTAAGGGTCACCAGGGTTAAATAATGAGTGGAGCAGGTGTTTCCACTCTGGTAAGGCTAATAATTCTCACAGGGTGGGAGGGTAGGGGGTTTCGGTGTGACACTTAATTAGAAGGCCTACTGTATGTTTTTCATTTGTTATCTGTTTCACTTTTATATGGTATCAAATCAGACTCCACAACCACAACCTGAATTTGAATATATTTACCTGAATCAGAATGTTAACCTGAACTTGAATTTCATTATATGATTATCAAAATCTGAATATGTTTACCTGAACTTAAATTAAAGAAGGCAAACTTGAATTCCATTACTTGAACTTGAATTAAAGAAATCAACTTCAATTTATGTTGCTTTTGTGGTATTAAAAATTCAGGTTCGGGTTGTAAGATTCTGGTCGAGAAAATTTCCAGTTATAGGAAACTATTTGTAGGCCAGACCATCCCATTTGACCACTCTTTCTGTTCAAAGAACGCAGCCTACAAAGGCTACACAAAGCAAGTTCATTTGTATAGCACATTTCATACCATTCAAAATGCTTTACATAATAAGGATAAAAAATACAATACATGAGTAAAATACAATAAAATGACAGAAGACAGTAAAATAGTAGTAAAATGGTAGTACCCAGTAAAATGGAAGCTAAAAAATACGTAAAATGAAGAAAATAAAATGGTACACAGCTGTTTTTCAACTTAACTACACTCTCCAAAACAATGGAGGATGAGCAAGTCGTTTTGTTAGTTATATGTTAGTTATTGAGGCAGATCGATACAGTACTAGTACAAAACGGAAATAAATAAAAATATTTTATTTATACCAACCGCGATATGTATAATTCATCATTAAATCTGGTCGGCGGATCTATCTTTTCTTCCACAGTGGGATGAAACTCACCATTGAATATTAGCCTAGCACAAAAGCGGCACCTGTTGTTCACCCAGGGAAAGTGCACTTAAACGCGGATTTTCTTTTAGTTTTCAGCTAATCTTTGAGCCGTGGGTTAGAAAGGCTGATGGAAGAAGTATTTAGTCCAGTGGCGTAGGCAGAAATTGTATTTTGGGCGGGCCATTGAAAAAGTGAGCGGGCCTATATTTTTTCCTAGAAAAAATATTTTTCCTAGAAAAAATATTACTTAAATAATAATTAAACCTTAGAGAGTAGAAAAAATAATAGACAAACAAACTGCAAAAACACACCTTTATTTTGCAATATTCGGCAAAGGCAATAACAAAACACCGTCTAACCATCATGTTCAACAGTGCTCAATAAAGGCTGGACAAACCACCAGCATAGACAATAACCTGTCTATTTTATTCAGGTTAGTCAGCAGTGCAGAGCAGACAGTTCACCCGAAAATAAAGTAGGCTAAAAGTAAAGGAAATTAAAATAATGAAAACTCTCAGCAGAGAACGGTTTGAAATAAATAAATCAGGTTTATATGAATATATATTTTTTAATACATTTGAATAATAAAAATAAACTAAAAATGTGTTTTGATCAAACTTGCCTGGGTGGGCCAGGGAGTAATGTGGGCGGGCCAGTGCCGCCCTGGCCCATTACTGGCTACGCGCCTGATTTAGTCCTAAATGCATCTGAAATATTTTTAACGTATACATATGTATACCATCTCATGCAATGACATAACAATCCACACCGAATAGTAACTTGAAATACTGTGAAAATATATGCAGATTGAATGTTGAATGTTTATAGCTAATTGTGGCAGATGTCATTAAGAAAATATGACAATCACTCTTTAAATATACATTTTTTATTATTTATTTCTTATTTCACAGTACCATACGGCATGCATGGTTCTAAATACGGGGGGCACTGTACCCCCCGATCAAGACACAGACCCCCCCCCCCCAAAGAGACAAGAAATAGCAGTTTGGGGGGGGGGTCTTAACATTTTTCTTTTGTTGTAAAAAAAAAACATAAACTCACCTTGTAGGAAAAGTTTATGTAAAACGATTTCAGACACCCCTAATGTGGACCGTACCATTTTAACCACCTCGGCGCTAGAAGCAGCCAGTCGGTTGCGTCATTCATTCTCATTTAGTGACCTGTTCGTTGTGTTCGTCTGTCATGGTGCTGTTTGTGATGCGTTGGTAAATGTAAGTAGCCAGCAGAAGTCTAGTCTGTTGAAATGTGTTATTTTACAACCTTCATTTATTCGTTTAAGTGATTCATCTACTAATGCAAGCTGACGTCTTTATAAGTTGAATTACTTACCATTGTCCTTCTGAGGCCGGTGTTCTGTCGAGTTGAGCTACTCTGTCGAGGTAAGCTACCGTAGTGCTAATCGATAGCCCTAACCATAGTTTACCTCGACAAAGTAGCTCAATTTGACAGAACACCGGTACAGTCAACTTTAGTTACGTTAACTAGCAAGATAAGCTCTATTTAAACCAGGCTTATTTATTGAGGTAAAATCGATCATGGTCATTTTCCAAGGAGATGAACTCCCTGTGTTTTCATTCTCATTTTATCACGAATAAATTGTGCCATTCTGAAATTAATTCGCCACTTAGCCTGTGTGGTTTGTTATTAGGCTAATATTAACGCATAAGAAGGTCTAACGTTATGCTCTGAAAAAACATTATTACTATAAGTGGAACCTATAGGGGCAACGTAAAAAAATAACTAGCCCTATTATTTGAATTTTAGTAGTATTGATTCTGCACTCCACAATTTCATATTTATAGAAATTTTTAGAAGCTTCATCTGATAGCCCAGATACTGCTTTGTTAAATATAGATTAGATTTTATTCACAGACACACTATGAGGAAAAGGAAAGATGGAGACATATTGTATATCCATAACAATAATAAAACTGGCAATACAAGAGATTATAAGCATGTATTATGTATGTGTTAAGCAAGCTTCTCATTGGCTCCCCCACTGATAAGGGAACAGAGTTCAAAGCAGTTCAAATCACCCTGGGGGAGCAAGTTGAGAGAGCCCAACCAATGATTCATCCAGATAAATAAATTAGCAAATAAAAAAAATTTAAAAATCTTATATTTCCCCCCCTAACAGATTTGTATGTTTTTCAATTGAATTGTACAGGTTATAGGTCACATTAAAGGCTGGAAACGTTTTGAAATTACTATTTCGGTGGTCTCATTTTTTTACAACACAAAAACCTGACATTTGAACAGGGGTGTGTGCACTTTTTATATTTGCTGTAAATAAATTGTACCCACCTGTATCTTCAATGTATGACTGGTGTAAATTTACTAAAAGTTCACTACTACAGGTTTGTTAGTTCTGCCTTTCAGACAAACATTTTTGAAAGCTTTTCAAAGTCGTATGAATAAGATGTTCAGTTTGATTACAGACTACTAATTTTTGGCTTTGCTAATTAAAACTATGATCCTGCATATGAAAAGTAATTCCCAGTTATGTCATATGGACGTAGCAAAAAAACTTATTCTTAAGGAATGGAAGTCCGCTGATCCACCATCGAGAAATGTGGCTCAATAAAATGTTGAATGGACACTGAATTCTGCAAATCCAAGTTAATTTCCCACCTGTTTTTTATTGTTAACATATAAAAGAAGGTCAAGCTGTCCTCCTCTTCTTTTTGGTGCCGTTTTCCCTTTACACGTTCACAGTATAAGCTAAGCTGCTACCATTAAAGCGTGCCTCCCTTCCTGCTTTGCATTGGGTCTGGCGCTGGGTCTCACCAACGCTAATCACGCTGGAGCAGGTGGCTTCAAACCTGCTGCAGGCGGCGGAGCGCCGGTATTCTGACAAAACGTCCTACTTTATCAAAACATCCTACAGTAGTGCTAATCGATAGTCCTTACCTTAAACCTAAACCCCCCCCCCCCAAAAAAAAAAACATTCTGGCAGTATATGTAATACATGTAAATGTACTCATCTGTACAATTAGCCCCCCGAGCAGAACCCTCAGTGGTCAGAGCATCTGCCCGTGGCCTGTGGTATGCAAGGGATGTTCTCAGCATCCCCCCCCCCAAAAAAAAAACCCTAAAATTGATCTAGTTTCCTCCAACCTTACGAGTCGGAATTCCAATTTAATGGGGTGTTCCAGTTGAAATTTCCGACCATGAAGTAGAATTTCCGACTTCCCAGTTCAAATTCAGATATCCAAAGTCTCCCGCATAAATAGTAAAAGTCTAATCTACTTATATTAGTGTAAAGATAATACATAATATTGGCCTGCTTAATTTAGTGTGCTGACTAGAGAAAATTAACAAATAATTATAAATATAGCCAATGTATAAATGCTATAATCATCTTATGCTTTCACATATTTTAGGGACCACAACATATCAGGGAGGCTAAGTGCAGGGAAGACTGCTCCAATATATCTCAGTTCTTCTCATCAGAAAAGCAAAGTCTCATAGAGAAGGTCACTACAACTGAGGTGTATTTCACATCTTTCGTTGCTGAATATAACCTGCCAATCCATGTGTGTAGCCACACTGGCAAGTTGGTTAGGAAAATGTTTCCAGACTCAGAAACAGCAAGAAATTCTGCATGCTCTTCCACTAAGACAGCAGCTATGATGAACCTGGCACTGGAACCTGAATGTGCAAAGAATTGTGTACAAATTAATCCGGACAGAAAAAAAAGGCCATACAGTATTTTGGTTGATGAAAGCAATGACATCATGTGTGAGAATGAATGTGCCATTTTAGTCAGATACTACAGTGAAGCACTGGATAAGGTGGCAGTTGGATTTGTGGATATGCCAGTGTGCCATGATGCCAAAGCTGACAATATATTCAACTGCATTGCATCATCCATGCATGAAAAAGGTCTAATTGCATAGGATTCAGCAGTGACAACTGCAATGTCATGACTGGCAAAGACAACCCTGTCTTATCAAGAGTGAAAGCACAGGCCCCTCATATATACAGCGTTGGCTGTCCAAGTCACTTGGGTAACATATGTGCAAAAACTGCTGCTAAAGAGCTCTCAGTGTCACCTGAAGAATTGTTAATTGACATCTACTACTATAAGAAAAGCTCAAAAAGAAGAGAGGAACTTAAACATTTTCAGGACGTCTGTGATGTAGCCCAGCAAAGAGTACAGAAGCACTGCCCTACATGATGGCTTTCTTTGGGAAAAGGTTTGGACCATCTGCTCAACCAAAGGCATGCATTTAGTTCTTATTTTGAATCACATAGTGAGAATCAGAAGTCCTGTGACATTCAGAAGAGGCTGACAGACCCCACTATGAAAATGTACACTTGCTTTCTTCAAAATGTCACAGTGTTTTGACAAATTTAATTTGATTTTTTAAAACAAGGCACCAGTTCTTTACAAGATAAATGACAGCGCTGAAGAGCTCCTGCATGACATAGCAAGCAGATTTATTGTGCCAAAGGTTTTGAGAGGACAGAGAGTGCAGGAGAGAGATGTGTGCAACCCTGAAATTCACTGTGCAGATGAAGAGCTTTTTGTTGGGTTCTTGACAAGGAGGCACTTACTAAGCGAGAAAGCACTTCCCTCTTACAAGACGAAGCAATTCTTTAAAGATGCTAGAGCATTCTATGTCAGGAGCTTTCAAAAAAAAAAAAAATCCCAATGAGAGACCAAATCTTCACAAATCTGTCAGTAGTTAATACAGAGAACCAAAGTGAATCGAAACCAAAGCAGACTTTGACTTTGGCAGGGAGATTCCCTAATGTGATGAAGGCAGATGCCAGAGAACATCTCCACTTACGAGTCCTGGATTATGCCTTAACTAACCTGGAACCACTGGTACCATATTACAAAAACTTTCCAATTGATGAGCTCTGGGGGAAGCTGTCCAAGGTCAGATCTGTGAGCTCAGGGCAGTTTAGATTCAAGGAGTTCTGTCAGTTCATGAAGCTGCTGTTGATTCTGCCAAATTCTAACTTTGATGTAGAAAGGTCATTCAGCAGGGTCCGTCACATCAAGACAGAATTCAGGAATCAGATGTAGCACCAAACACTTGTAAACCTGATGTCTTGCAAGATCAACCAATTCATTGACACAGAATGAAATGAGATTGAGGTTTCAGGGAAATTGCTAAATTCTGCAAAGCAAGCAGCTTCAAAATACAACGAAACCTTGCAAAAGACACAGGAAAGGAAATATGCCTATTTTAGGCTAAAAAAAACTGTGTTCTAAAATGTAAAGATAAGAAAGGAAAGAGGAACACGTGCCATGGAACCCAGTGATTACAAAATGGGTGCATATTGTAGAACTACCGTACACACAGAGGACACCGCAACATTTACTAATTTTTAACCGTTTATTGTATTTTATATGGTATTCTAATTTAGTTACTGTCTTGGGGCATTGGGCTGGGATAAGGTTCCTCACACAAACAGCAGGGTTGGGGTTCGATTATCTGTGTTTACGATCATTATATCGCCACCACATGGTTAACGGGTCGTTTTTTTAAGTGTCATCACATTTTGCAAAATAAAAAGCATATAAAACACACAAATGGTTAAAAACTAATGAAAGTTGTTGTATCCCTTGGGACTCAGGTAGTAGTATTATTTGCACCCATTTTGAGCTCGCAGGCTCCCATGGCCTATAAGTTATTTTTCCAATTTAAAATATTAAATAAAACACGACAAAGGATTAAAATGAGTAAAAGTCGCAGTGCCTTGCACGGTGTGTCAGGTAGTCCCCCTCATATTTAATGGCGACGGCGATCCCTGACAGCTAATTTCACTTTGCCTCAGACAATGTGCGGGGGGTAAGGGGGGGGGGGGGNCGCGGTGATGGTATCGGTTATGTAGGCTATAATGTGGAGGCGTTTCAGTTGGACACCATAATTACGCTTGAATAACAGTGAGACAGGACATTCTCGACTGGTTTATTAACCACTTAATGTTTAAATTGTACGGCTGGCTAAAGAAGTAAATGGAAATCAAGAAAAAAACGTGTTTTGTTTTGTTTTATATGTGCTGTTTTTTGGCATGTGTCGCCAAAGGATTGGACAAACCGAGGATTACGCTGAACGCGGAAGGTAAATGAATTATAAAGAAATGTATACATATGTTACATTCACATTTACGGCATGATTTGGCAGACGTTCTTAGCCAGAGCGACTTACATAAACTTGTCTGGCATATCATGTCTTTAGAGGTTTTAACTGTCAAAAATTACACCGTTTTAATGACAAAACGTTCACCCTGTTGGGTCATAACAGAAACGATATATTTATCATCAATAGTAAGTAGATACGTGTATATGGAAATGTATATAGATAAATGACGGTAGCAGGTGTTACGCCCAAGAAGGCGTCCCTACCGCAGAATGCATTACTGTTTGAAGGGTTTGCAAACAACCCATACGCTTTTTAATGCAGCTAATTTTAGGTTTATAATAGAATAATATAGATTTGCCGTAGGATTTCTTGCGTGAGTGTGAAAGATGCGTGAGATTCGGCACCCCCTGGTATTTTCCTTGATCAGATATGTTAAACATATATAAAACATTTGGCTGTAAATGTACAATAAAGGCACAAAAGTAAATATGGGACGGGAATTTAAAAAAAAAAAAAACATTTTTAGAAACGTGTCTGCGTAAACATTTTCCCAGGTGCTGGTCAATTGGGGAAGAAGTTCACTGGAAATAATAGCATCGGTCCAACGGATCATATCAGGAATGTAACATTAGGGTCAAGTTGATCTGTTTGTTTGGCTCTCAGTGTGTTATTAGCTTTATAGAAGGAGACTTAACACATCTGATGTGGATCAGACCAGTGCCCATATGTATGAGACAACCAACACGAAAATTACCGAAACACCAGACGAAACCTCTAATAGGGATGATCTCTAATCAAGGCACTGATGCCATTAATAAGATCCGAAGAACACTTGACTAAGAAACTGAAATAAGAATTCGAAGTCAGAACTTGATTTCCATTATGTGAATATATCGAAATTGGTTGTAGTGATGTGTGAACAGTGGTTTTAGGGTTAATTTGAGTAATTGTTTGCATGTATGATTCTTGATGTTAGCTGCTTTTTAAAGTTATGATTCATATTGTGCGCATGGAACATGCACATCACTTGTGAAAACAAGTTGTTAAAAAGACCATGGGAACGTTCTTCCGGGCAATTCGGTTTTCCTATGTTTCCCCTGTCTATCAGGAAATAATGTTTCTCCTAATATTTAGGCAAATATGTATGTGAGATGTCTGAAAATCACTCAGGTACATTATTACATTAGGGTTGGGGCTTTAGAGTTCTACGGGGTTTTTGGGGCTATTGATTAGCACTACGGTAGCCTTACTCGACAAAGTAGCTTAACTCGTTTCAGATCAGCGACCAATCGGTCATTTAGAGACAGGCATGCATTCTACGGCAGGGATGCCTTTTTCGGCATAAGACCTGTATGCGGGTCTCTCTCATGGACGTGGCTTCCGCCCTCAAGTAGGGTTGGGCGGTGTATAGAATTATATCGAAGTATGTCGAGTAAGTCCGCACACTCATTTACATGTATGCGAGAGTCTGAAAAAATGTCACGCCAGATGCGCGAAAACCCTGAAATCTTTTACAGTCACATTTTACAATTTTTTACAAATATGTAACTCACTCTGGTATCTTGTTTACACTGTCTTGCTTCCACAAGCTTGATTATTTTTTTTTGTCGTTAACTGCTTTTGACCAACTGAAGCAACTCGAAAAAAAAGTTTAGTAGAATAAGGTGTGACTGGCTGTGAATGAGCATCTCGGTGTTAAATGCGCACAGCGTTTTTGAAGAGGGATGAAGCTGCTCTCATTCGCTCTCTCCCTCTGCACCTGAAGGGCTGAAGCATTCAGAGGTCATGGCTGGTGAAAAGTCTAACAATATGATTCATTAGCACTTCAACTGCATAAACTACTCTGCACTGTTTATGCTTGTAAAGATTCAGGCTGCTGGGTAGGTACTCCTTGAGGGCCATTTCCTTTGTGCTTTCACAGATAACATCTTCAGAAATTACTCTCTGGGGGGTAATCACAGCCGGGTAGAGCTTCTTCAGGGGCCTTCTGACACCACCCTCTATGTTGGCGGCGACGGCAAACTCTTCCTCATCGATTTCCAGAAGCGCAACCACTCTGAGGTAGGATAGATTAGAAAGCTGTAATACTTGCCTTTAGACTCTCTCCTGGAGTTTTGCACCAGCTTCTGTGCACAATATTAAATGCTTTTTATCATGTAGACTGATTTATTTGCTTATCTCCAAGAAAAAAAAAATGCATCTGGAGAAAAAGACATGGAACTATGACATTTTCTTGGTCATGTTTAGCCACACTGATTCCATTGTGTCTAATTGCAGATCCCCTTGACATACAATGTCACCTTAATGCACAGATATCCAAACACACAGTACCTCTATGTATGTGGAACCCATGGAGAACCGGTGTGCTGTAATGTGGTAAGCCAGGTGCCTTCTCTTACTGATTTATTCGCCTACTGTTAGTTTTGGTTCGTCTGAATATTTTTGTTTCCCCCAACAGTCTATGAAGCTGACGAACAGCAGTGAACCTTTACCTGCCCAAGGAATCGCCCCATTTGGTGTGGATGAACAAGCGCCATCTTTGTTTATTGGTAAGTTGGCTTCTAAAATGCTTCCTTGGGGTGGCCATGAGCAAAAAAAGTCTTTTTCGCAGGTGCAGACCGTGGGAGTCACGATCCAACACGGGAACAGCCGACTGAAACCGTGCATACGAACAAAAGGGGCTTTATTGCTGTGGTAACACACTCCAAGACACACATAACGTCAATAACCGGACTGGGGAAACGAACGGAAATGCGGACTAAATACACTGGACTAATGACAACAATCAGAAACAGCTGTGAAACACTGGGAATCCACATGAGGTTAACGAGGGGGGCGTGGCACAGGAGGATCGGCACGACCAGGGCGTGACAGTGGGCTCATGTTCTGTATGGTCGTCTATCGACCAGAATGGAAAAAGTCAGTGTTGCTTTTAAGGGGGAGGTAGGGGCAATAAGAATCAAATTGCCAACACCCAGGTATCAGGTTGCCTTCTTTGATAATGACCAAGAAGAACCAGCACAAAAGTAAAAGACACCCGGAGAAGAAAATCCAACATTGACAACACTGATATCAAACCTGAAAACTTATACCTTAAAGCAGGGGTGTCCAACTGCAGTCCTGGAGGGCCGGAGCCCTGTGTAGCTTAGCTGGACTGGAGTTTGAGACCAGTGGTTTACAGTAATAATGAGAATCAAAGACAATGTCAATGATCAGATTTTAATTATTTTAAAAGAAAAATAATAGCTGCACTTGCTGGCTACTCGGCTAGTGGTTTTTATTTTACGTAGTTGACAGATATTTTGAAGGGATCCTGTATTATAACAGTAAATATCTGTTCTCTTTCGCTTTTTAATCGCAAACAAGCAAAACTTTGTGGGAATCACAGTGACAGCCTGTTTGGAGACCCATGATGATGTCTAGGGTTTTCTCTGCATGTTTTAGAGGATGAACTGTACACCACTGCCAGTTATGAGAAGTCGGGTAGCAAGATTGGAATTCGTCGTTGGAGTGATGGATCAATGGGCAGCATCTGGTCAAATCAAGAAAACACCCAAGGTAGAAAAGGGGGGGGGTCTCTAAGTACAATGATTCAGATGCCTAGCTGTAGTTGGTAGTACACCAGTAATAGCAGTTAGTTTAAAGGTCACAGTCATTCTTTTGTTTCTTCTGAACCTTTGGGTAAATTTGGGTTGGTTTCGGTCCTATTAAAGACAGCTTTTGTCACGTATGAAAACAGAAGTATTTTTTATTGTATGTCGCATGATTGAGATTTTTGGTTTTACTAGGGAACTTCATGGTGTATTTGTGTGGGAGGATTTTTCCGGTGGGTTTAGAGTTTGATGACGGCCTGCTTTGTACCCCAGCCCTGTGTTGCCTGGGATGGGCTCTGTTGTTTTGACCTTGTCCAAGATAAATTGTTGCAGGATGGATGGAACTTAATGGTAACTGTACACATGTAGGCACTGTTTGAGGATCATCCATTGGGTGATAGGTTGTTAAGACAAGCCTTTCTGCTTTGGGCCTCATTAGACCTGAGGTACGTAGCACTGGCGTGGAGCGGACCCAAAGAGAATAAGCTGCAGGACAAAGTGTATGCCTTCATGTGGGAGAAGAATCCGGACCCCTCTCGGGAGGCTGAGCTCTGGGTCCCTCTTGTCACACAGATTTGCAAAGTAAGTGTCCCCCCCCCACTGCCTTATATGAACTAAAGATGGCATTTTGGATTCTGGTTTCTTCATCATTGAAGGTGAGAAAATGGGAATAAGAACGAAGAGTCCTTGTCTACATTGGTTCATTTATTATTTTATTATTAATTGATTTTATTTATGACTTCTTGCCAAAAATGTTGAATAGGAGCAGAGAGCCAGGTGGGGAGATAACTTATCTTGGGTGTTTGATGTGAGTGTGAGCATATGTCAGAGTCTTATACGTCTTATGCTGGGTTTATGTGAGTTCTATGAATTACCATGTAGGCTACTGTATTAGTTGTAAATTGGTGTTGTTAGTCATTACCATACCATACCAGTCCTAGTGTTGTAGTATTTGTTAAACCAGTTACCAATTCCAGATAATTGATGTTTCTTTTGGATCTTTTCTTTTTCTTGGAGCAACGGCTCATGAGCTGCAATTGAAAGTCACGGTCAGGCGTGTTTATTACTAAAACTTTTTAGTGAGCGCTATGACAGACACAAAAAATACACTTTTATGAGGCAGATGGTAACCTTGTAGATAACATTCAGGATGTCTAAGGGCTGCTTATTTATGATGGACTGGGCTGTGTATGTGCGCTGTGAGCCGATTGGTTCCTCGCTTACACAAAGACAATTATTGTCCCTTCCTGGGCCCCAAGGTGACACTCACCGATAAACGTTTTTTTATGCTAAGCAAGGTCAGCATGTATATCTTCACTCCTTAAATATCGTGCCGGCTAGAACTAATGATTGCCTAGTTTTAATGACCCGGTCCAGGATAAATGGTTGAACTGATGAATTGTTTTAATGAGCCTTACAGAAACTGTGCTAATGATGCTATATTCAGGTGAGTTGACTAATTGAGGATATTGCAATGTAATGGGTAATGTTCCCACATATCAGTGGTATAATTGAATGCTGAATTTTCTTAGATCAGTGTTTCCCAATCCGGTCTTCAGGGACCCCCATCTGGTCCACATTTTTGCTTCCCCCCATCTGTCTGGGGGTCGCCGAGGACCGGAATTGGGAAACACTGACTTTGTTTACCTGTGGCCTGTGCTAGGTGGATCGCGGAGGCCCGAAAAGTTGCCTGCAGAAGTCCTGGACATCCCATCTGAGGGCCCGGCTGTCATGCGGCATCCCTGACAGAAAGCTGTACTTCAGCAAACTGGTGGACGTGACCATCCTATATGCAGAGAGATGGAATGAGGGCCGGGCGTACGCACTCTTCAGCAACGGCTGGTATGGCTTTGCCAACCCGTCTGTGATGCTTGTGGGTTAGGACACCACCTGTGTGTCTCCTTGTGTTGCATGTCATGTGGTCCGAGGCAACGGTCCCGCACACTGCAGAAACACTGTCTGTAATATGTGTTGCCTGACAGGAAGCATCGGTTTTGAAACAATGTTCGGAAGGGTGTGGATTAGTTCACCTCTTGGGCAACTAATCCCAAGGCCGAACGCAAAAACAAAGCACATGTGGCGTTACTTCAGAACGTGATAAAATCCTCAATGTTGCAAACAGAAAACAGATGGAAATTGCAGTGTGTGCCAAACCCTTAATGGAAGTGAGCTAAAGTGATTAACATCAGAGCTTTAGGTTTCATTGGAAGTAGTGTCACATTTTTGGCGTTAGGTGAGGGGGGGAGAGGTGATGAGACATGGTTTCGTGGTCAGGCCGTGTCAAAATTTGGTTACGAGCTGTCTGATGAAAAAAGTGGCGTAAGCTACAAATACAGCAGCTGCTCCTTCTAATTGAGAGGGGACAGCTAGGGGCGACACCTGCATGGACCACAAAGGTGTCACTCCGAGCATCTTCCAAAGGGTGGGGGCCCTGAGCCTTTGTATGATATATAAGAACAAGTTTGGAAATAACTATGTATTACACAAAAATGTCAAATATCAGAGGTAAATACAAAACATTGCAGGAAATGGAGCTTAAAATGCAGGCAAATGACTTTTTCTGAAATTTTTCGCTTCTCGCAGGAACATGTCTGCAGTGTGCATTTACACCTTGGGTGACATCGACCGTGTCTTCACAACATCCTCCTTCAGAGAACACCCAGGCCAGGTTCCACAACCAAGGCCCGGGATGGTATGGAAGTCAGTGCTGATGCTACTCTGCAAAGCGTTTAGTCACAAACCATACATGCATAAATATTTAGGCTTAACATGGTCTCACCTACCAAAAATAAACAGGGGTTTAGGTGGGGAAGTGTGGTTTATGACATGGTGGGACAGGTTTACATTGAACGCAGGAAAACAAACACATATGTCTATTCCTGGAGCGTGGGGGGAAAAAACCTGCAAAGCAAAAAAATCATGGTCACATGACTGCCATCTCAGTCTCAGTGCTCCTTCTTACACTTACAAATTACATATGCATGTTTATTGAGGATGTAGAGTGGCACTTGTAAAATACATTTCTCTGAAATCCAGGAGAAAAAGTTTTTTAGTTTAGGTTTTTTTCATACATTAAGTGTTGGGATGGTGCGATCACACCGCAACACACGTAATGTCACGTTAAAGCCCTAATTTCCCTTATTAAGCAACAACAACACTTAATAGTACCGAATGGGTCTGCAGGGAGTTAAATCAATGAAAAGCGTATGTGTCGGTCAATGACTCTCCTGTCCTGTGTCACCCAGTGCGTTAGTGACAGCACGAAGCTTCCACGGGATGTCCTGAAAATGATGATGGGACCGTTGGAGATGCAGGAATGGGTGAAACCCGTGGGTGACAGACCTCTGATCATTAGCAGGCACCAGTACACACGCATAGAAGTGGACAGCGTGATGGCTGTGGACGGCACGCAGTACAGCGTCCTGTTCCTATCCTTGGGTCAGCTTCTCCTCTATATACTTTACCAGCTATTCTTACCATATAAAGAGCTCAACATTGTTACAAATATGTGTTTTAAAAGTCATGTAACCATTTCAGCTGACATCTGTTAAGCAACTTTCGGTCAGGGCAATGCCTTTGCTGATATACTGGCGGGTTTAAAATAATACAGAAGTGAAGTAGGAACGTTGCTGTTCCTCTTCCTGTGCCTGTTGACCTGTGATCACAGCATGCAGTTGCAGTGGCTTTTGATGATGATGGTTAACGCAGTGTCCTATGACCAGTGGCATAGTTATCTGTACTGAGGTTAGTCTTCTCGGAACAGTATGCCTAGTAGTACTCATGCATGCATATCAAAATTTGTATTTGTTTATCTCCCTTGACTACTTCTGCAAGTCGAGCACCATTGAAGGAAGCTGCTTTGTATTAATCTTGGTGTGAAAGTTCAGCTTTGTTTACAGGAAGTGAAAGACGTCTATAAGTAGCCATGTCTGCAGCCCATTGTCTGTTGCCCTTTACATGTCTTATACAGTACAATCCCGTTATAACGGACTTTAAGGGACCTGGAAAACAGTCCGTTATATCCAAAGTCCGTTATATCCAGAGTTGCTGTAAGCCCAGAACACAATTACAGGACACCATTTACTCATGCCACACCCCAGCAGCCACACTTGTGGTATTGATTATTATATTGTACATGTAGTAATCCAACTTTACCTGACTGTTGGAGGTATATATGGCCTATAAGTGGTTATACATGTACGGTACAGTAGTAACACAGAGTGCCTGGTGATGGACAGCCACATAGACCAATCCGTGTAGCCTGCTGTTACGCCATGCCTATTATTAGAGCGTGACTAATAATCCCAACTACGTATCTGTACTGGATATCACCGGCACGCCACATGCCTTGTAGGCGGAGCCTGCATGTCCGTTATAGCTGAACAAAACAGCTAAAGTGGCCCTGGGGACCAAATTATTTGTCCGTTATAAGCAAAATTCCGTTACATGCGAGTCTGCTATATCTGATGCTTTATCTGCATGTGTGTAAGGCACACGGCCGGGACCAGCGGACCTCGTCAGTTATAGATGATGTTCCGTAATAAGCGAGTCCATTATAACGGGATTTTTAAGGAAATTAGTTTTATCCAGCGACAACCAAAGTACCAACCAAAATGGATTCCTGCCATTGGTACCTGAACAACCATTGATATTTTAGAGATGGATCCCTTTTTAAGTCATTCTCATTTCATTATTCTGCTGACACTTTTCTTTGTTTGATGGGTCAGGATTATTTTCAGTGTAGGTGATGCTTGTTGGACACCAGATAGACACCCTACTGCATTTTGCTGATAACCATAGTCTTCGTCTGTCCTTCTGTCCACAGAGGATGGGCGTATCCACAAGGTCCTGGAGGTCATGGGCCAGTTCTTCATCATAGCCGAGCTCAATGTCTTCCAGCGAAAGACTGTCATCCAGAACATGCTTCTGCAGAACTCCACGGTGGGTTTCAGAGGGGGCTGTCTACCAAGCATCCTTTCTGTGCGTTTCTGGTGCAATCAGGTTGCACACAAGAGGAAGTGTGCTGCAGCAGCCAGTGCAGCTTGAGGTTCTGCACCATATGGTGATATCTCACCAATCTTGTTTGATGTGGCTTTAGTTAAATAAAGCAATTTCCATATATTTATAAAGCTAATCTTTCTAGCACAATAATCCTTTGTACCCTGGCATGTTTTTAGTGTTTACAACATTAATATAACACTAATATTGTGCTGTTTACTCCCACCCCTTGCAGAAGAAGCTGTATGTTAGTAACGGCGTAGAGGTGTTGGAGGTGGACCTGCACGCTTGCAAGAAGTATGGGACTCAGTGTGTAGATTGTGTCCAGGCCCGGGACCCCTACTGTGGCTGGGATGCTATATCCCAGACATGCACCGCAGCCTCCAGGTAATGCTGTAGCTGCTGTGCTCTCACACCAGTCTCACCTCCACCCTCATTTGGGGGGGGGGGGGAGAGTTATTTTAAATGCTGATAGCTTTGTGGTTAAGGGTCTACACTCGTGAGCAGAAGAACCTTTGCACCACTGAGGTGGGTAAACTGACCACTGATCTGGTTGAAAGGTACATATCTAAGTTTCCAAAAGCCATCCTAAGCTTTGTGTTCCAGCAATCACCGCCATTGATATTACTAAACAGCTCAATGTCAAGCCCCTGAAACTCAGGCACTCATGCAAGTTGCAGAATACATCCTAAATAGCGGCCAATCCACCTGTATCCCATGGTGTTCATGACGGGCTGAGCTTTGCCTCAAACTTGTCCGCTCTCCAGGGGTAGATGACCTGGTCTAACCAGCAGCTAGAATCAGTGCTTCACAAGGCACCCCCACTGTTTCCCCTCAGAATAATAGAGCCCCCCGCTTTCAGTTCTTGGGTATGGAAAAATGACACCCACATCAAAAGTCCCGCCGGCCCCCTCGGGTGGGGGGCGGCAGAGTGCATGAAAAGCATCTCTCTCTCTCTCTCTCTCTCAATGATCCACCTTCTGTCTTTTGGACAGTGGAACAATTCAGGATGTGCAGCATGGAGATTTTCGTCGCTGTGAAGGTGAGATGTTTCCCTTCTCCTCTGCCCACAACACAGAGATGCCAAACTTGTCATCTAAACTTGTGGGGCTTTTTTTTTGTACATTTAGCAGTTCAGCGTGTAATGCGGGGGAGGGGAACTTGGTCCACGGAGAGTCGCTGTGGGTGCGGGTTTTTGGTATGGCCTCTCAATCAGCCATCAATAAAGCAGTGGTTCTCAACACCAGTCCCAGGGACCCACTGTTACTGGCTGATTGAGAGGCCATCGCAAAAACCCACACCCACACTGGCCCTCCATGGACCAGGTTCCCTACACCTGCTGTAATGGCTTTACTGAAGAGATTCAAGGAATAACCTCACCAGCATAGGTGGAAAGTTCAGGTCCAGAAAGTACAAATCCAGACCAAGGTCACCAGCTATTTCAGCAAAAGGGCCCCAACCTCTCGGGTACTAGGTTTGGGTCTCCCTTTTTGTGTAGAATGAGTGGAAGTCTTGGATGGATCTATTTTAAGACATATTGAATGCCAGTCTTAGTTAGTGATGCAGTCGAACATTAGTAGCATTTCCTTGAACTAGAATTTGAGCATGCAAACTAAAACCATTACAGAAAACCCTCAACTTTTTTGCAATGTGTTCATTCAGTGGCTTGTTTTGGTGAGCTGAAAAGGTATTATGCAAAATTCTAATGTAAACAGCTACTCTCACAAAAATATAAAGGGGAGCTTCTGAGATGTATATAGATCTGTGTTTCACAATCCAGTCTTCAGAGGACCAGATTAGGAAACACTGCCCTAGACAAAAGTCCAGTTGCAGTGCCTTGTGGGTATTCAGCATGAGGGTCAAGATTTGGATATAGAGGGTAGGAACATGTCCCTACTAATATTGTGGGAGTGTTTAAGGGGTGGGGCTGATTTGGACTCTAGCAATGACAAAACCAAACCTACTCCCCTGTTGAGGGTACTGGCGTCCCCTTTTGAGATGTTGCTGCTTTATGCCCGATACTTCCAGCCCTCATTTTCCCAGATAATGGGCACTGACAGTAGATGGATAAATAGTCAGGAGGCGAACAGGTAAAAGCCCAAGTTCAGCTCTACGTTTCCCTCCCGCAGACCTTCCTGTATCTTCAGCGCTCCACAGCTTGCCGTTCGTGACGGAGGTGCCACTCCAGGCTGCCCACTTCTTGAATTGCCCCATGCGCTCAGGCCACGCCGAGTACAACTGGTACTATAACGACGATTCCCAGGGCTGCGTTTCCACGGACAAAGGCTGTTTGCTGCTGATAGAGACAATGGGCCCGGATCATGACGGCAAATACGAGTGTAAAGCCTCTGAAGGGGGCTACGAGAGAACAGTGGCCCTGGCTCAGCTGCAGACTGCAGGCAGGGCGGCAGGGCTGCCCCCCCCACTGGCTGGAGCAGTGTGCCTTCTGTCCTGTTTCACCTTCTTCCTGTAGTTCTCACTCCTCTTAATCCACTTATTACTTTGCCTTAAAGCATATCGAACTTTCTTCCCCAAACATTGGACTGAACTGAAAAGATTCATACATAAATATGCAAACGTAAACGTACAGGTTGCGAACTTTCACCAGCTGGCTGGAGTGAGCCATTCAGTTCAAGGCAACTCTGTATATGCATTCATATATGTAAGTTTTATTCTCTTGTAAATAATCTGTAGGGTTTTAATATAGCTAATATAAACACTTTGAATTCCTCATTTTGAGTATGAATATACTAGAAATTATATTTTTTACACACATCTATTTCTGAAAAAGCCAATGCATGTAATGTACCCTAACAGTATCTACAGAAAAAAAAATGTTCTGTGACAATTATAAATTGTTGAACGCTGAATGACATCTCAAGGTAGTACAAAAGACTGCAGTGGGTATTTCTGTCATTTTCACCTTGTTAGTACAATAAGACACATCACAGACTGAGGTCACCTGAATTAATACAAGTCAAGTTTGGGAAAAGCATCACCTTAAATACAAATAGCAAAAATGTCCTTCTTACATAAATTTTTTATTGTTTTCCCTGAAAACAATTGCTGATACCCCCTAATAATAATAATTAATAATAATACACAGAAATACCTCTGGGTTGGTTTTTTATAAAATGGATCATTCAATTTTGTACCAGTGAAAGGTTATTTCTCCATTTAACAAAATATTAAGATTGCAGTGTAGAACACCCAGTCAAGCACTGACTGAGATCGGAGTTCAGCGCTTGTGAAAACAAGCTAAGACCAGCTGTATTTTCCAGGTACATCAAGGCTGGTTCCGTGTGGGGGGATAAAGCAAGGGTACAACGTCAAAATGAGAGAGAAAGATCAGGGAGGAAAAAATGAGCTGGCTTGAGTGTTTCAGCATGCAAATGCCCACGTCCCCCCTACCCATCTCTGGTGGTTCCCTCTTGTGCACAGAGGAAACTTGTGGTGCTCAAGGTGAGGGGACACCTTGGGATTGGTCTATTCCATTACACCTGGGGAGGTGACTCGTTCATAAAGGTAACAATACAAGTGACATAAAATGGATCAGTTGTCAGACCTTGCATTGAAAAGGCTACTCAGCCTGTTTTATTGGCCTAAGACCCAAACTTCAAGTTCTAACATCTTGGGGAACACGATTGTCCAAAACACATCCTTTAAATCAATGCTTGGGCAGCTGGAAGGCTTTCACATGGCTCTGAGAAAGGGCAGGGCACCTTGCCTGATCCCTGGACATAGTTAAACAAAAAAAAAACGTTTAAATAACTCATGAGACATGGTTGCAGAGTGGGAGTGGGGGATGTACACTAGTAGTATCTACCAAGGATGTGGTGACATATCAACCGTCCTCAGTGACTTCCTTTTATACCCCCAGTAGTTAAAAGAAATGAGCTCTTCGTAATGTCTCCAACAAGAAGAAGGATGAATCATCGATTAAAATATCTTAAAATCTATTTTTAAAAGAGAGGCAAATCATCAATGTAACACGGGTGAGAATTTAAGGCAGTAGCTACATTTCTGTCATTTTCTTTGTGGACCCCCGCCACTCCCACCCACAACCTCAAACCTGCCATTGTTCTACTGGAACAATTACAATCCTACATGCAAGTAGTCCAAAGCGAACAAAAACAATCCAGATTCCAGGAGGCACGATGCACTAGGAATCTGCCAGCTTACTCAACACAAGCTAAAAACCACCATAAGGCAAGTTCTCATGAGGTACGTTAAAAGCCAAAAACATCCATGTGAAAGAAGCTGATTACAGTCACATGACAATGTATGCAAGGAAGATATATCAGTGATAAGTACTAATTGGCAAATGGTGGTTCTCTCATTCTGTATATTCCCCAAATGGCTAGAGTATAATAAACTTTGCTGTTCGACCTGAGGTGGAGATACGAGGACCTCTTCATGGGCCCAAGATCAGGCAAAGGCAGAGACACACGACAGCAGACCCCACAGCCTTCAAAAGGGGGATGGAATCTGACCTTGATCTGACAGTAATGGAGCGTGAACGTCAATTTTTTTTTGTAATGGATCCATCGGTCGGGTCAACGATGCCAAAACGAGACACAAACCGGCCCCCGGAGCCATGCGACAGCAGTCGGGGGTATCCAACGTGACCCCCTCCATTTCCACCGCAAATAAGGAGAGCAGCCTGCGGGTGGGTGGTGGACAACATGCAGCTCAGTTCACCAGGTCTTTGGTATACAGCTCTACAGCGATCGGAGTCAAACGAAATGAGGCTAATCAGACAGGCGATGCCTAATGTACACCTGGTAAATATTTTAAATGAGAACAAAATATCACGTTCAAGACATTGCTGCCTGGCAAGGATACGACAAGTCAGGTCAGTTAGCGTGGAACCTCTTCGTAGGTCAACACAACAGACTTGAGCGGAGTAGCTGATCAGGCCAGAGCCATGACAGTAAGCCAAGCTAACCAGCATATTCTCCAAACCATGTGACCTTAAAGCCATCCTGAGGAGCTGAGAGCGTCTTTGGTTACGGATCCATTCTTCGATCAAGCAACGCGGGAAGTCTGCCATTCCTGAGAAAGACTCTTTCCAATATGGAAAGACAAATGTGAGGCTTGAAAACTAAAATGCATTTCACAAGAAAAAAAATTTAAAACATTATATACGTTGTCCTGATGTCTTAGTAAAATACGCCCCTTCTACTTTCAGGGCTATAGGAGTGGTCTGTAGAGTAGACCACCACTGGTCCCAATGCACCTACAAGATGGAAACCAATGCTGTACGGACATTGTGAAGGTGGAGAACGGTGCCAGAGAACCACCAATCAGATGCTAAAGCTTTAGATCACCCAAACTCTCATCCAAACCCATACTATTCACATTGCTCCAATCAGAAGTTGCTACCAGCAGGGACTAAGGACCAGTAAACATCATCTCCATGTTATTTTAAAAAGTGAGCAAAGCAAAACAAGAAGCCCTCAATTGTGAGCCCCCACGAACAGAGCAGGCTGATTCACAGAGGTTCTTTGGAAGGAGGACTACAGGAGAACTGAAACATCTCCGAAGGTCCTTCAAGGCAGCCAGCTTATCTCAGCCACTCAGTCCAGCCTAGGAAGAACCACAGCAAACAGGGGCCCTAACCATGCATAGAAACGTTCTTACAAGGCTTTAGTTCTACAAACCTAAAAAAAAAAAAAAAACCTGATCAACAAAATTATCATGTATATAAAATAAACTTACTTCGGCTACAGTACACTACAGATACCTGTATAATTCAACCAAAGCAGACTTCTTGATCTGAGGTATGCAAGAGAAAGTACTAAAAATACAAATCATAAAAGGTAAGTGGCAATGAACAGTAAAGTCTGAAATAAACATCTTCAAGTTCAGCTGTGGGCACCTGCCGGTGATTTCTGACTGTACTGTTTGATTGTGCTGCGTTTTATCCATTGTGTTCATGTGTCGCTGTCTGTGTACAGTCGAGGTCGACAGGAGCGATGAGGTATTTGTTGTGCTACAGTTAGTCCCTGGTATCCCCATCAGAGCCACTGAAGAATGGGCAGTGTGTCCCTGTTGGGCCAAGTGGGGGGAGGGGCCACGGGAAGGGGGAGTGGCCATATAATTAGGGAGAGCCACTGGTAGAGGGCTCCGCAGGACTGGGGCCCTTTGAAGAAGACAGGCTAGGGCTGTGGGCAGAGGAAGGGAACGCAAAGCCTCCTCCACCGAAGGCAGCAGGGGGCGCCGCTCCAGACTTCTGAGCGAACAGCATCCCTATAGAGAGAGATGGGTAAAGTGTGAACGGGAAGCGCTTATTGACAGCCAGCGCTCAGTGAGCCGTTCAGAGGAGCCCGCACCTGAGTAGACCATGCCGTTGACCTCCACAGACACACTGATGCTGGCGTTGCCATTGGTGGAGATGCTTAATGCCAGGTCTTGCTTGTCTTCTGAAACAGACCCGGGGGCAGGAGGATGTTAGAAGCGCAACAACATGGGAGAAGACACCCGATAGACACAACGAGATATTGAGAGAGAAAGTCCAAGGGACAGAGCAAGCAGGCGTGTGGAATTGGTCATTTAATTGGTGCTGGGGGAGAACTACTCACAGGGGCTATTATAGTGCGTACGTGTCGTGCAAATATGAAGTAGTGGAGCAGAAGTCATTGTGTTGGGTGTTGACACTAATTTGGAAGGTGATCAAGGTCAGGCATCAAAATGAAAATTGTTTATCTAATCATACACTAAGCAAACAAGTGGGGAATAGGGGGGCACTAACCACGACTGGAAGTGGGCCGGCCTCCGACGGGGGCGTGGGCCGCCATGGTCAGCAGGTTGTGCTGCAGCGCGTGTTGCATGAGCCGCTGCTGCTCCTCCGCCATCCGCGCCACCTTGCGCTCCGGCCCGTCGCCCGTCTCCAGCTTCTCTCGCAGCTGCTCCAAGGTCGCGGCTCGCGCCAGGCCCAGCCCCAGCCCCAGCCCCAGGCCCAGGCCCACTGGGGGCGCCGGCGGCTGCTGCTGATGCACACCCAGTGCCGCCCGGCTGGAACCCGTCGTCGGGGAGGCGCTTTCTTCTGGAGGGGGAGGGAAGTGAGACAGTGAGCCTCACGCATGTTACTGTAGGTCAGGGATTCACAAAGTGAGGATCACATGACGACTTCCATTTTATGTTCACTTTAAAAATGTGGGGAAAAACATCGCATTTTAACCATAATTGCAACCACATGATTACCAGCCCCCAGAATGGGGGTCATGATTCACTGTGGCTTCATGGGCTGAGAAGTTTGGGAAGCCACGCTATAGGTCAACGTGGGGGACGGTTGGTGGCTGATGACAGCAGAAATCCTATGACCTTCCCCCCACAAACCAACCTCCGTCATAGGGGTCAGTTTGGATTGCTATGGAAATAGGCCCACAGTTCCTTTAAATCCACAATGAAACTCTCACAGGTGTCTGTACAAATATACTGTCACCTTAACATGGCTGCTTTATTTGTCCGTGTGCAACTCCTCCACTTGCGGGGTTACATTCTAATGAAGTCAAATATGATACGTAAATCACTACTGTCACTGAACAACTACATAAATAAGCATAGGGACAGATCAAAACTCAAAAGTTGACCACTAAATGTGCATCGCTGCTGCACCATCGTAAAGCAAGAAGCATCGGAGTTAAGTAACAATCTGTTGTATGTGGTACTATTAAAATAAAACAATTATAAAAAATTAAGGCAGCTCAAAGTCCAGCAAACTTTAAGCAAACTAAACAGGACCAAGAATGACGGATTCTGATGGACATTTTGATCCAAATGCAATCGGTACCAGACACTGTATTGTAAACTATACATTTGCCGCAATCAAAACATTCTGAAGTGTCTTGCCATGGTCAAGTTTGTCTGACGGTCCCTGACCATGAATGAGAATCGCGGTTGCGTTGGTAAGGAAACGATATGCGAAAGAGAAATGGGAAGACGTTAGCATTCTGTTCCGTTTCAGCGAAATCACAACCATCACCAAGTATAGACATATGAAGCAGTTACGCATAATAACACCCACTGAGAGAGCGACGCAAGTCACCAAAAGGCAGTTTCCAGCACATGACTGCCTCCAAGTCTGGGGACACTTGCTCAATTCAGTAAAAATATTGCTAATTTATTGGTTTCATAACAAACATCATTACTTTATTCCTTTGTTTAAAAAAAAATATATGCCACATTAGAAACAACCAGTTCTAAACATTCAGTCCAAGAAGTAATACATCGAAACACAAATTATAGTTATATAGTTCATTGACAAGCAGTCTCATTAGGTGCTTATTAATTAGTAGCACCTTTGCAGCAACATAAAACACCAAACGTTTGTGTTAAGTATCCTTTTGGGAGCCAGTGGCTACAATTGCAATTAAGAGCAAAATGGCAAGAACAAAACTGAAAGAATCAGTCAAAAAAAATTATGACACATTTTTTACAAAATTAAGCAAGCACCCCAAGGCTTGGTGTGAGCACAGCCTGTACAATCTGGCTACATCAGCTTAACTGTTGAAGATAAGTTGTGCTCGACTTTGTCATTTTTATGTGGAATTTCAAAAATATTCTCACTCTAAGACAAACAAGAAAATTAATTATCATAACAGCTTTCACGTGAGAAGTTTCTCTATACCCAACGGTAAAATTCTGAAAAGCCCCTGTAGGTCCCCAGGGAGTATTTTTTTCTGATTCTGAAAATACCTATTTCAGTGTCAGAATAATTTCTGTATGTTTACAAACGACACTCTCTTCTTGATTTGTGTTGCACTTCGCTCAGAAGATGACTGCTGTTTACAGGAAACTGAGGGCAGGGGGCTGACTTGTGGTGCATCTTAGTACCATGTGACAACCCTCAATACACTCTGCTACAAATCGACACAAATCGCCATGTCAACCTACAATTCCAGAACCCCATCATTGCCTTGAAATTCTCATGAGCAGATCAGAAATAATTCCTTCAGTAACAGCTCTCTGAAAACGCATTTAATCATTTGGAACTTTTCTCATGTAGTTCCAATTTACACCACCAGGGGGTACTATTATACAGAGAATAGAGAGGTAACAAACCAGTACTGTTACCAAAAGGCCAAAATATTGTATACAGGCAGATTTAAGTTGGACTTGAATTCATATCACGGTATAATGCTTAACCTAAACAAAAATAGCGTATGTCTTTTGTACAGAGACATTTATCACCTTCAGTAACCAGCTGCATAACAGTTGCCCTTGGTTTTCGAAGCCTTTCACCCGAGCTTCGACCGGACGGATCAGACTAGTACCTGTGCCTTTCTTCAGTGACAGCCCAGGTGACGCCAGTAGCCCATTGTGTCCCACAGGGGCCCCGCCCCCCAGTGACGCCAGGTGCATCTTGGGAGAGGGGAGGATGTGGGGCGCAGAGCCTGGGGAGGCTGGGAAGCGGTAGAGGCTGGCGCTGTAGCTGGGCCTACGGCCCTCGCGCCGGTTACTGTCGATGGCGGCTTGCAGCTCCCCCGGCGAGCTCAGACCCTTTTTCTCACATTCATAGGGGTACAGATACTTCATGTACCTGAAAGAGGCATAGAGGGAGACACGCCCCATGCGTGAGTTTGGCAAAACGTAAAACATCTCATTTGCGAGGCACCAACATTATGATATCGAACAGATTGGGGGGGGAAAAAAAACAGCTTGATAATTAAGAACGAAATTCTAGTAGCCTGCTTATAACGATTCTCCAAGCCTGGAAATTAAGGCAAAGCTGTAGACCAGTGTTTCTCAAATCAGTCCTTGGGCACTGCCAGATGCTCCACATTTTTGCTCCCCCCCAAACTCCCAGGGAATTGGGAGGTGGGGGGGGGGTTCCTGGTTTTAGAAACACTGCCGTAGACCACAAGCCTTATGGAATCCATGTAAGTTTCAGAAGAACAACAACAACGCAGTCAAACCCTGCCCTCCAGACTATGAACAATCACACTGATAAGCAAGGCAAAGCAATGCAGAGTTCCCGTCAGTGGCCTGGGGGGCGGGGGGACGGGCTTACTGCGTGCGGAGCGTGAAGGCCGCGCTGGTGATGGACGTGGGCAGGCTGAGGCCCTTGGTGATCTCCCTCCACATCTTCTTGTTGATGACCTCCACCAGGCCGCCCTTCTCAGTCACAAGCTTGTACAGCATGTAGAGGTCCAGCACCTGCTTGGCCATGATGGGGATGCGGTTCACCGGGGTTCCTGGGAATTTTATTTTTTTTTGGGGGGGGGGGCGACATGAAAGCACACAAAATTACGCTGAGAGAGAGAAGGTGCTTTCTGTTCAGTGAACTTACATCTACTGCGCACGGCATTTACGATACGCAGGAGAAAAGGTTTAGTCACACCTCCACGCCCCCCCCCCCCCCCCCCCCCCCCCCCCCCCCCCCCCCACCCACCCGGGGAACGGGGGGGGGGGGGGGCGACTTCAATTTCATGGTAGATTTCACACAGCAGAGGGCTACAAACCAGGGACGTGAACATTCTGCGATTCATCGATTCATATTGACACACCAATAAAATCATAACGATCCTCCTGTATCAGTACTGGGAGCATTGATGTGTATCAAACGCATATCATGAATATTTAAACATAGGGGGAAGCACTTATCCAAAGACAGAATTGACATTCCTGTGACATTGTGCAGTATGACATTCAAAAAAAAAAAGTCCCTCAGTTTCTATTTGATTGGATCAATCGTCACGTTCAATCAAGTCATTTCAAGGAACATCTGATGTCATCATACCATTTCATTTGAACAGTAAAGTACATCATGTGTAGCAAATGATTTACACCCTTTATCATGAGGTTGCCACGGTTCTCCTTCCCACACCTTCCTGCAGACAATTACTGCATCTCAAAACAATATTATCCTAATTAGGAAATGCAGACAAGGATGATCACGGTCAAACAGATCACAACTACTCCATGCTTCTCATACTACTCAGCAAATGCTACCAATGGCTTATGTGTACCTTGTAGCAGAGAAGCTGGGATTACTAGATTCTACATGTGGCACTTAACTAGTGAAGCACCAACCAGTATGTAAAGCTGGCAAATTGACAGCCTTTGTCAGTTTAGACCAGGGCCTCAGCCCTGTGTAGCTTAGCCCTTTCCCTGTTCCACTACAAATGATTCGGCTCAAGAGCTGTGTGGTAATTAGCACAAGGAGTTGAATCAGGTGTGTTAAATGAGGAGAATGTGCAGGGCTCCGGCCCCCCAGGACTGGAGTTTGACACCCTTGGTTTAGACTTATCAGAGGAAATCTGTCCTGGGAAAATGAAGCTTCTTCATTGATGAGTCTTTTGTCCAAAAACAAGTAACTAATAAGATGATTCTTCTATTGGCTTCTCCACTATTGTGGTTTGTATGGTCGCTTCCAATGGGACCCATGGGCTAACACCAACCCCAGGTATCAAGCTGAGCCAGAACAGACAAAACATCAACCTGCCTCAAGAGCAGCAGAGGTCAATCAGAACGCAAAGCCAGCCCTCACGAAATGAGGTGTGACCAGAGCAGCCAGTTAACCATCAGCCAGTGTGGGCCGTGGCTCCGAGTGGACGGATCGATATGTGGGAGCAGCTTCCAGAATCGCACGGCATCATCATGCCATCATTCTAAATCATTAATTAGGTGGGGGTGGAATACGCCACTGTCCCCAGCCCTATCCCCCCCACGCCGAGGCATCCTACAGGGCCAATCAGCCGTTCCGATGGAGACCATGAGATCAAGCCATCGATGCGTTTAGCTGACATGCAGAGTTTAATGGCAGCAGCGAGGCTCATCCCCTGGGTGGGAAAAAAAAAGGGTGTATGTGTGTGGGGGGGGGGGCTTACTTAACGTGTAGGTACACATCAACCCAACATCAAACAATTACAGAGGCTCCGGGAGGGGTGAGAGGTCAGTCAGTGGTTATTGACGTATGAATTAAAGTGCTGGTCAGCAGGAAGCTATGAGTGACTGGGGGGGGGCACACTCATAAAGGAGCTCTAGTCCCAGGAGACAAAGGGGGGTCAAATCAGATGCACAAAGGACAGAAAGACCCATTTTTTGGGGGGGGGGCTTTTGGCTACCGCCTGCCGGGTTGGCAGCGAACCCAGGCCTGAGGGGGGGGGGGCTCTGAGAGTGACGACGACGCAAACGTGAAAATACAGCGACGTCACATGGGAGACAAGTCCACAAGTCGGAAAGCGATGAATCATATCGCTGTTAATTATCATCTAGACACGATTTACCTACGAACTGCCAAGGACCATAAAACGATTAAGAGACACCCTCTGCATTAATATTTATTTGAAATCTGCTAGGTATTTGTTCCATCAGTTCCATCCGTAGTTCAGCAGAAAGCTATCCGGTCATTTTTTAATCGTTTTTTTCCTTCTTGTAAGCTGCAGCTGACATTCTGTTTTGGTATATCAGCTGTGCGATTTCTCCCTCTCCCGTAACAGCCACTCACTGCACTCCCAACGGTCACTCGGGGCCTTTTCACCATCAGAAAATGAATGAAATCCTCTCCCTTGTTTTTTAATATTATTGTAAAGGCAGGAGTTTATTAATTTGGCATTTTTTTTGTTGCATATTCACTGATTCTCACTCCATTTTACTTTTGGATGATAATGACAGCATTCTTCTTAGAATAAAGCTGCACCCCCTTCCTGCCTGAACAGGTTACCGTCCTGAACGGCCCACAGTCATTCTGGGAAGCTTTATGCCGAGAGACACCTGACAAACTGCAACCCAGAAAATACCAGGAAATTACTAAGGCAATACAGAGTCTTGTACTCAGAAGGGTAACTAGAAATTCTGGACTGCCCAGTTATTTAATTTTATGATTTTACATATTCAAGGGCCCCTGTAAAGGTGCTGGGCCCCCTGAATCTGCCAGGGAATCCAGGCATCTACGATGCCCCAGTGTGCACCCAGAGGACACTGGGACGGCTCGGTCTGAAAGCACCAGCCCACCCTCAGCTTCACGTCCAAGTCCATCACTGCAGCTGCTGGTCTCCAGCAACCTGGATTCGGCCTGGGCAATATGGGCCAAAAAAGTTCACGGGATCTTCTTAAAATGGAAACTAAAATCTAAAACCTACTTGGCAAACGTCTCTAAAAACTGAAGCCCGACAACCATAGAAAGTGCACTTAAGAACTGGAAAAACCCTCATTTTAAGTCATAAGTCTACAAAGTAAAACAAATATCGTATCTTCCAATATTTTTAACTATCGACGTTTTAAAATTAAATGAACCAAGTAACAGTCATCCTTTCCCCTCCGTCAGCTTTCCCGTGAGACACTGACTGTATTGGGTTGATCTTAGCTGTGGATTCTGAGAGTCTGTGCAACGTCACCCCCCCAAGCCCTCGCATTATTCACAACCGGGAAGAAAAACTATTAGCATCTATTACAATCTTTACTAGAGCCCTATTTTTTTGTGCACAATAAAATGTATTATTGTATTATCCTATATCTCGTTCTGAAAGTATATTGATATACTGTAAATATTTGATACGCTGCCCAGCCCTAATTCATACATCATCCTTCTGGCTGCCATGTTGTCCACATGCCTCCCAAGCTTGGTGGCCTCTCTGCCTACTGCAGCACGCACAGCCTTCCTGACCTCTCCCATTATCCCTGTCTGGTGACTAATTGCAGGGCAGCAATTCATCGTCAATGACCACGGCTGCAGCACAATGCAGAACTGCTATTGGTTTACAGTGAGTCTCCATGGACTCAGTCTCAGCGCAGGATTGGTCATGTGGAGAGTCCGTCATTTGGGCAGCAGCATGTGATGACGACTCCTGGTTTCTAATTGGCTAGGACCTTCTTCTGTAGTTGTTCCCCCCCCACCCGATGGATGAGGCCTGTAACTAGGAGAGCGATTAACGCCGAAAGGGGTCAAAGGTTGGCACTGCACTGTGTGAAACTGCTTTGGGGAAGTCAGGCTGCCCAGCTCTCACGCTTCCCCGCTCCCACTGAAAGATGAGGCGCCACTAAGAAGCTTGAACATCCAACTGGGTGTCAGGGAGTCAACGACAAACATGATAGGTGACACTTAGGAAGGTTTTAGATTTTTTTTCCCCCAGTCTATTGTTCCGGAATGAAACTTCAACTCCACACAAAATTCCAGAACGGCCCAAGGGCTGGCTTTCTATCCCCCAACATCACCGGTCGAAACACAGCATTGGATATGTCGACCCCCCCCCCCTTTCTGAGAATAAGCACACAGTAAGGCAGCAGTGTGTGGTGAGAGACACCTGTCGCACAGATGCACCCGCAACTGCAGCGTTGCCGGCGCGTCCGTTGTCTTGTAACGTCCTTGCTAGTGCAGCTGTCTCACAGTGCTGAACATCCAAAGATTAGATTTAAAAAAAAGACGTCCAAAACATGAGAGCTTCTGCTACACAGTCGCCCTCTGAGTGATTTTAAAAGTCGATACAGCCCCCGATCCAGGCGAGGTAACCTTACATCGCTACAGTGTGAACATGTGTGCAAGTCCTGTCCCTCAGAAAGCATTGGATAAAGGAACCTATAGGCTACCTCTGTCATCTGGTTTAAATTAATATCTGAAAGCAAAACAAAAATGCCAATCTCAGGAAAAAAATATTTTGCACAGGTTGATGCTGATTGGCCGGTTGGCTGCGACTGTCTGCTTACTCCAATGGCCAGACCCTGGTGTCACAAAACTCATTTACCTGATATTCCTTAAACAAGCCCAAGTCGCGGAGCTCCGCCCTTCCTGTGGCGTCGACAGAAGAGGGGATGGAGCCCTGTACTGCCCATTGTCCCACGAGCAGCACTGGAGAGCAAGAAGGAGGCGGAAGGGCCAGGGAACAGACTGGGCTGATGCAGAGGACACACTGCCCACTCACTGGCAAGATGAAGATCACATGACAGTTTGGAGGAGCCGCTGGCTGGGGGAGAGACCCCCCGAACTACTGAGGAGAGGAACTTGCCGGAAGATGTGCTCTGAGCTCCTCACTGGCACATGACCCAATGGTGCCTAAGCTCCGGCCAAGGTCCAAACCAGTGATAAAAACCAGTTGGACAAGCTTCCATTTTATCTTTAAACGCATTGTGCATTCTGAATAAAAATACTACTGTAACAGGAAAAAACGGAGAAGGGGGGGTGCGGAATGAGCGCATCATGACTGTCAGATGTTGATTAGACTGGGGTGGGGGGGTACAGGAAACGTGAGCTGATGGA